GCAAATGTGAACAACGGTTGCGGTACTTGATCAATGCAAGAACATTAGCGAGGCGTAGTAGAGCACTACAGCTATGAATGGACACTGCTATTCATTGTATGGACCTTCAATGCGGCCACACTAACAGAGAGCGACCTGAAATTTCGTAGGAATTATGAAAGCAGAACCTATCGTCAACTAGGCGAACCGTCCAGTTCATTCGTCGGTTGTCTCGCCATAGCATACTGATGAGAACGAATTAGTTCGAAACCGGTATCGGTATACGTTTGGTGAGTACGGTTGGTCAATGACGTTAGCTGTTTACTAGGTATTGCTGGGATAATTAATTCAATGCTGGTCGGGATATGCAGTCCTGAGAGTAGTTGTATGCCAGAATATCATCAATTGTGCTCTCCTGAGAAATTTTGGTTTCATTTCACTTCAAAAATGATAATGAATGAACGAACGAGGTTGTTACTTAATTATACTCAAAGAAGAATTTTAGTATCTATAAATTAGGTAATATAATAAAGAACTGAGAAATTATTAACATTATTCTCATTAGCTTAATACTAAATTGGAAGAAATATTTATTATTTTTATTTCTATTAAACAAGTTTCCATTAGCGATATTATGGTCTGTGAACATTTAATTAAACAATTTACGGAATTAATTTCAATGTTCAGAGCATTTGTAGACCAATTGTATTTATACAAACATTTTTACTTATTATCTGAAGAATGTTACCTTAAAGTTTAAGTACTTCGTCATTTCAAATAGATGACACAGTGAAATAGTCTTGTAAAAACGTATTTGTTATTCGATTTCATTTCTTTTTAGATCTTATTTAAAAAATTCTATTATACCACATGACATTCGAACTTATTGTTAGTTTCTAGGCTTAATTATTTATTAATATACTCTTGTTTAATTGTAAAATTTGAAGACAATTAATTACTTCCCAAAAAATTTAAGAACTGTTCTGAAATATATTCAGAAACAATGTAATAAATATATAAAATAAAACGAAGACAAATTGAGGTTGCAACTTTTATGTTGAATAGTTTATATCTTTGTTTAACTATTGCTTAATTTGAAACTGAATATTAAAAGGAACAAATTATTGGACAATAATTTGTTTTAGGGTATTCGGCGTACCACTGCAGTTTATTTAATTTTTAACAAAATAAAGACCATTGATATTAATTCTACAATTGACAATGCATACTTATTCACGAAATTTGGTATAAATTAGACAGCAAAAAAAAAGGCTTCCGGAACCCAATTAATTCAAATCAGGGACGAATATAGAGATAGATTTGAGGGGGGGCGTGCGTTTGTATAGTAAAAAAAATTTTCCGATCATTTGGAGGGGCGATCTTCGTTTATATTTTATTAAAGTATTTTGAGGTCTATCTTTTATAATTTCTGGTATTTTCAATGTCTTTCATATTTTTTGATATAGTTATTCGCAGGTTAAAAAATTAATGCTGGATTACAATCCAAAATAATAAATGATTTTTGAAATCAACAAATTCCACATAAATGGATTGGATCTGTTTTTTCCTTACGAAGAGTGAAATTTCGGCGCTTCCACTACGATACAATATACACTAAATATAAAAAGACAAGCTGTGGAATACCTCAAATTCTTGATAGAGTAAAAAACTTATTCAATTATATCTCAGCAAATGGCAGAAGTTTGAAATAATTGTTTAAAAACAATTATTGTTTTAGTGTTTGTGTGTAAATAATGTTAATGTGAAGAAATTTTTTTATATAGAAACATATTTTTTCTATTACCTAATGATGTTACCAAAATCATGGAATAATTCGTCACACGTGTGATTTTCTGAATATTTCATGTTTGGAGCAAGTGAACTACAAATATCACTCGGGGAAAAGCTTTGCTCTATTCCTAAGTTTGCCTTTTCCAAGCAACGAAACCGTACCTACCAAATAAAAATAATTCTAAAAATAAATATAGGTATCCCCATAATTTGATTGTGGATGAAAATATTTTCTAAGAACGTCATAATATTTCCTGTTCCTATTTTTTATTGACTTGAAAAGACGTCTAGACTACCGGCGTCGAATGGGACTTTTAGTAAAATGATGAACGATGACATTAAAATAAACATGACTTTCCTGCAAGAATATAAAAGAAATTGAAATTTCCGTTTTATTTTTTATGGTTATCTATGTCTGATTTTTATTATTTACTTATTGAATCTTACTGTATTAACGTTGAATCCCTGAAATTTATGTTTAGCCGGCAAATAATTTGATTTAAAAATAGACCTAAAAATTATGAATACGCTTCCGACTGTAAACATTTTTCCTTTTCGCCTAAGCCGATATTTAGACGTTGGTAGATAGATGTACCTATTTCTCTTTTAAAAGAAAAAGTATTTAACTTTGTCTAATGGGACATAAATAACACGTTTTCTTATTAATCCTTTATTTATTTAGACAGAAAAGTAATACTAATTTAAAACGAAAATTAAAAGACTTTGGCAATAAAGAAAAGTTTACGAAAAGTAATTCGATTTTATATGCTTCAGTTATAAAGACGACACGCAGGAAGAAATAAATAAAAGTGAGACAAAAATTAAAGTAGGCGTTTTAATGAAAGGTGACAGAAATAAAATCAGTTACGGAAATGCGAAATAAAAAAATATCGTCTTACTTTATTCACAGGAATTTCTCGAAGTAGCTGGATAAAACACAAAGGGGTTCATTGTTCTTATAAAAATTGGTACTGTATAATAGCGAGCTGGAGTTGGGTCATATTAAACAGTTAAGTGCTTTTATTTAATTTCTAATTGCAAAAAAACTCAAGTGTCTGAAGTGATTCATTTATTGAGAGGCCTTGAATTTTATAAATAGGTAACAGGAATTCTTTATAAGTTCCATCTCACATTTTCTAGGGTGTTCTGTTTTAACAACTATTCGCGCAACCAATGTTGCTTATGGCGCATTACATGGACTGACTTGAGTTGAACAAAATAAATATACAAGAACGAAATTAATTTAGAATTATGATAGCTATCTATCACTTGAATTAATATCTCCGAGTTCTCTATTTATTTTGAGTTTTCATATGTTTTTTTATAATTCAACAAATACAGCGAATAACGACAACAAAAGAATTCGTTGGATACTCTTAACCATTTATCCTTAATGTGTGATTGAGTATGAGGTTTGTTCTGAAATTTGGAATAAAAATAACATCACGACTGAAATTGAATTGAGATTAGCATTTGATTTCATTGAAATGTTGAAAAATTTGAGCGAATTCGTTTTCTATATGTATCTGTGGCTTTCGACATGAACAAGCATTCATCTTATAAAAATAAGTAGTCGATATTCTTATCAAACAAATACAACAATATATGGTCAACTACTAGTAAACAAACCGCCACCTGTGATGTTGATATCGAAAAGCTAGACAATCAAATCGAAAACAAGCCTTTTAACTTAATAGAATTATAATCCAAGCCTTGTAGAGAAGTGCGTACAGAAATTATTATTACTTGGAAAAAAATATGACCATATAGGACGGATTTAAACTCGATCCATATTAAAAGCAAACATGGCCAAAAAATTCGCGAAGTTGCAAAAAACGGTTTTTCTTAAATTACTAAAAAACTATAGCACCGATCGAAAAATAGTAAATGAGAAAGTTGTAAATATCGATTGCTTTGTTGCTTTTCGAGATATATCGAAAAAACCATAAAAATTGTCTCTTTTCTCTTCTATTACTCGTTTGCATTTACATTCCCATACTTGCTATTTACTGTATGTGCAGTCGGCCGTAAGCCAAAAAAGCACATTTGTGTAAAATTAAAAAATATTAATTATTTTTCGAGTTATAGGTTACAGGGTGTTTGGTAAGTCGATGCATTCCTTGCAGGAGGATAAGTGATTTGTGATATATTTCCTTAATATACCATATTCCGAAAACGTTTAGTTTTCTATCAACAGGGTGTTAAAAGTTTTAATAAAAAAATGCAAATTTATAAATATTGCGGAAACCGCTCAGAATATTTTAATGAAATTTTACAAGCTTTAACAGTTAACAACAATACATGTTTTACGATAAAAATATTGTTTTCAATTTCATCAGTGGCGTGCGCATAGGCACGTCACTGGATATTTTTAAAGAAAAAAATGATATGCCACTGATTTTTCTTAAAATAACATTTTTAAATTCCTTGTTCAATTTGGAAGAGAAAAGGTATCTCGTCTGTTTTTCTTATGACACACCGTTTTCGATAATTTGAAAAATAGCAGAAATTATATACTTAGTTTATTTTGTACCAATTTTATTACAGCACGTTATTAATAAAGTGACAGCTATTATTAATTTTGTCAAACAATAACAAAAGCGAGTGCACAGTCAACCTGCTAATTTCTGTTTAGATAGTGAATAGAGAATCTAAAAACTGATACATTTTTTGATATCTCGGCTTCTGGACAACCTATAAAAATCCTTTTTACTTAATCTGGGGTAGCTTGACAAGATAAATACGAACACATTTTCATTTTAGAAGCAAAATAGTCTCGGAAATATTTAATTTTCATTTAATTTACATTTTTCTTACTTTTATCGTCATTTAATAAAGATTTAACAACAGTATTTTTCGCATAATACCTTAATTTTAATATTTTTTGATCGAAGCTATAGTTTTTTGGTTATTTTTTGCAATTCTACGATTTTTTTTTGGCCATATTCGCCATTTTGGATCGAGTTTAAAGAACAAGAAACTCATTGTAAAATTTCATTTCCTATACGGTCATATATTTTTTTTCAGGTAATAATTTCTATAACTTTAATATTAGGCCGTCACAGAACGCTTGGACTAATAGAGTCTCAAACTTTTGTTTGCCATCGAATTGATAATTCATTCTAAGTTGAGCCATGAAAATGCGCCATTATTATGAAGTAATTAATGCGAATGTGAAATGTATAAACATTAATGTGCCCAGATTTTTGTATTATGTGTATATGCATATATTAGTCCTCAACCCTTCTAAAAACTGTATAGTATGAGAAAGAAGCTTTGCACACCTGAAATAAAATACAAAATTAATCAAAATAATTGAATCGATGCTACGAACTAATTAACCAGTTAAATTGTCTTTTAATTACCACACAAATTAATTTTGTAAGAATTATAAAATTTATTTAACATCTAATTTTGTAATATAGACTTTCCAATTCTGTCAACATTAATAATACAAAAAAGATGTTTAAACTATTTTTAGTTTCTTTTTTATACTTGTACAACACTATTGAAAGATTTGTAATGTGAATTTTTAACTATACTCCGCGGTCGAAATTATAAAGAGTGACTAAGACATAATACAAAAACACTATTACCATAATGCATATAAAATATAAAATGATTTTTAAACGGTTCAATATTATTTATCTTTGTGCCGCTCGCTACGCACATCGATAGAATCTACAATCGTCTAGAGACCGAGTTACACTGAACGTCGATCTATATTCTATCTCTGTGTTTTGCACTTGGTAGGGAATAGGGAAATGCTTTTTTAGTGGGTGTAAACGGACTTGATTTAACCCGTCCTGAGAAATGTCATAGCATAAGCGTAGACGAGGGGTCTAATTCCATGGCTATAGTAAATTTATAAATTAAAAAAACACAATTGGGACGTTTTAAAATGCTGTAATAATTAAAATGGATCAAAGTGCCTGTAAAAAAACGTAAAAAATATTAGATGTTATGTTTTATTATCTTTTTTCAATATTTTCTATATATTGTTGCCTTTAACGCAGACACGCCAATGGATTTTCGTTCCCGGCACGCTTCATCCCCCTTACTAGTCCAAAAGCTAGCGATGAATCACTCTCTATAAATTCGACCGTGGAGTATAGACAGAATTTAATAGCGCTTTTACGGCGTTCAGGGTCCTTACTGATATTTAAATAACAATCTTTTTCGGGTTGTTATGCCATGACCTACTCGTATGTACCTGGCCGCCGCTAGTTATACACTTAGTTATGTTAGCCTTAGCTAGAAATATTTGACCTGCCTTTGTTGTTCTCGGCCTACGCTCTGTCGGGGCAGATCCCTTAACAAAACCCCTTAGATCCACTACGAACGTCTTATAACCAACAACAATAAACGAAAATATATAAAAAAGAAAGAATATACACGGATACCTTTTCCGATGTGACAAGTGAAAAAAAATGATCCTGTTAAAATCTGGAAATTTTAATTCTGTGTAGAATTGCAGGAAGAAGTTTTCGTATTATTAAGAAAAAATAAAAATATGAAAATATTAGCTAGAACTATTCTTATTGTTAAAAATAATATAGATAAGCTGTTTAAAACAGAATTTCATTGATTCAAAAGTAGAGAAAAGTGAGATAAAAAACTAAATGAATGATTTTTCTCACTTATTCATATACTTACAGGCTATACGAGACAATAGAAAATATATACAGGGGAACTTTTCGAACAGGCAATAGAGGCACAATTTTCCCAGAACATTTCTGAAATTTTGGATTTCTAATTTCAAGAATCTATTAGGTCAGTAGGGTGTAGACTAAAAATAAATTAATTCTCGCGAATGGTTCCAGAGCTCTAGCCAAAGTAACTTTTAGTGAAAATTGAAAAATCACTCTGTATATCCACAAAATTTGATTCAGTACTTTTATAAGTGGTCATGTCGTACTGGCTTAGGTTGTCAAACTCTGTCATCAACACCCTTTTAATATTAATAACTGAATGATTATTGGTGTCAGTAGGTTCCTAGTAGGTAAGACAAAAAGTTAGAAATGTTAGAATAGAATTAATTTTTTTCGATATTTTACTAATTACGACCGTACTTACCGAAACTGTCGCTTTAAGAGTTAATGGGAAAAATTTCCCAATACTCAAATAAATAGGACGCTGCATGCGGCTCATTGTCAGTAGCAAAGACTTCTTAAATCTGTGACTAGCACTGAACCAGTCAATGTCATATAAGGCAAACATTAACTCTTCACTCTAAGAAATGTAATGCACGTAATATAAAATATGTTTGCAATATGAAGTAGAAGTCTAGTTCTTAATTGGTATAAACATAATTGTGTTAATGTTTAGGAAAAACTATACTTACTGCAGTAGTTATTTCACTCCCAAACCAACATACCAGAGCAAATTCTATCAACATAGACAAGAAGTATGTTAAAGTAGCGAAAAACATTACAGATCCAACTGGTTCCTAAAAGTAAGGTTTATATCACATACGTGTCTCATTATTATACAGGGTGGCCAAATGAAAACGAAACAGAGCGATTTTCAGGAACTGCGTCAATATTGCAGAAAAACGCTCAGACCCGTCGATTTTAGATTAAAGGGGGACATTCTTTGCTGGTATTTTTGACTCCGTCACTTTCCCCCAAGCAATGGTAAGTATCACACCAAAATATTTAAATGGCATTGGGGGTTGGGTAATATTTCTTTTCAAAGCTCTTACAATTCTCTTTACAACAAACTTTAAATTATATAATTCCGCCCAATACTTATTAAGAATTTTTATTTTAAAGTTGAAACTTATGTACAAACAATTAGTAACGGTAAAAATGTCAGTCATTCGAGTTAAGTACGTCAATGGTATAAATTTAGTATTTCTTGCGTTACATTGGTTTTTGGCGATTTGTTATCACTTTCGTAAAAAACACAATTGTAAAAAACAGAAACACATACAATGAACGTAAAATTAGAGGATTCCAAATTATTTTCTAGTATTATTTGCAAATGTTGGTTGGTAGTTTATTTAATTATATTTTTGAAAATTAAACACTGGTTTATTCCAATGCGGAAAAGGTAGATATCATTTCGCTTTACTTTATGAACAATAAATGTGCGAATAGAACAGCTCAGCTATTTAATGAACAACATCAAGATCGACATGTCAGG